ATAGGCCTCAAATTAGTTGACCATGTTGTAGCAATGATGTCGAAATCCAGTGGGAATCAGTGTTTGCTTTGCTTTCCACTAGCACCAATATGAGGCAGTAAAGGCTGATTTATGCTCAGAAAACAGGTCGTCTGCATGTGTGTTGCAGTGAAAGCAAGTGTGCCCCTGCTCTTTCCGCAATCGCTCTGGTGCACCTCTGCAAAATTGTAGGTGACTGCAGACAGTGCTGCAGATAGGAGGCCTATGATTGGTCAAATCCACATCCGCTTTACACTATGCATATTTTTGTGTGTTACCTTACTTGTGTGCTTCTTACTTTTTTGTTTGTTTGTTTGACTGCCATTGTGGAAAACAACTCTTGAAGTTGGACCAGCTAGAAGAGCGAGGTGCACAAGAACGCTGGGACCCTTTTTCCACCTGGATCCCTGCTCTTTTTCACCCTCATGTTCCTCTGTTGTCGCACAAACTTGCCCCCACTTCCTCACCACCTCAGTTGTATCTAGACCCACAGCTAGTTTGTGACTGCCCCTCTTGCGTTGTGGCGTGGAATAACATAGCACAACCCACACTTCAATATTGGGCATAAATCAAAAATATCTGCAGCAAGATCACTGCGACACACTGTTGCGAGAGTATAACCAGCCCTTAACATGTAGTTCTCTCCTCTTATTTCTCTTTTATAAAAACAAACATTATCTGACAGAATGTTTTGTTCATTCCACAGCAAAGAACAAAACAGCTGATGTCACTAACAAACATAGGTTTAATCAAAACAAATCAGATTTCACCAATACAAGCATTTCAAAACGTATATATCTGGATTCCTCTCTAAAAAACTGCATCTATAATCACAGCAGCTGTGCTAATCCACCCACATCACACACATGAGCCGATTCATCATTAAATAATTCCTCACTGACAGTGCTCGTGAAAGCATTCTGTTGGGATTGCTTATTTGTAGCTCCTCCAGCTCAGAAGTTAATAGCATTGAGGCATTAGAGAAGATGTCGGTCATTATGCTCCCTCTTTTCATTGATTTATTTAAAATGGAATAAAAATCTTGCACCATGTTTTGGTGAGTGTGCAGTATACATTTGATTCAGTTGCAATTCATAACACATGTTTGCTCAAGACACTTTACATTGACAATTACATCAAATCATAAAGATTAACTCGTTAAATGTTTTCTTTTCAAGGAAACCCAGCTGATTGCATTAAGTCATTGACTTCGCTCCTTCATATGAGATGTAGCCACAGTAGACTGTTGTTTTGTGTCATTGACCCTGCAGCAATCTACCATTACAAATGACACTGTGTGCTCCAAGAAAAAAATTGAATAATCAGCTATTAGTCCACTTATAGAAATCAATAAAGCATAATAGAATAATTAACTGTACAACTGACAACGTTCTGCTTAGGTTCCCTGAGTTACTTGGCATAAAACATATGTTAGGTTGTTGTTAGTTAAGTGATGCTAACACATGCTGAATGCTTCACCTCTTTGCTATTTCACAATGTTGGTAACTTGCACTGAACAACTTTAGGAACGATATGGTGCATTTACAGTAGGATGTTTTGTGTTACTTTATACTTAGCAGATACTTTTAGTAATTCATTGACTACTGGAACAAATGGAGATTTTATGACTCCAATAAACAGTATCTACCTGGAGGATGTCCCCTATAGTAATTGTTCTCAATCGGAGTTGGAAGTAAAGCAGAATATAGCAGTGTTAGTGAGGGCATTATTATTTTAGTGATACATATAGCTCTATTGAAGCACCCCTCATTGCCTCATTATTCGACAACACTGGGCCGCAGAGTTGGGAGAGGGAGTCTGCCCTGCAGTTGCACGGTTGCCGGTTCAAGCCCTAGTTCTGCCTTCAATTTTGTTGTGTCCTTCGGCATGAGACCTCACCCGCATTGCCTACTGATGGTGGTCAGAGGGCCCGGTGGCTTTTATCAGTGAGCTCCAGTGCAGCTGTGGCTATAATGTAGTTGCCACCGTGTGTGGGTGGGGGCGTGAATGGGTGAATGACTGTAAAGCATTTTTTCAAGTCTCCTGACTTGAAAAAGTGCTATAAGTACAGGACATTTACTGACTTACAAATGTGTGCCTTAGTTTTGCAGTACACTGCACTTTTCTAATTATGTGTTTTACTGAAATCACTTGAACGATACTCTGTTATTTCCTTCTTTTATGCACACAGAAATATTGGAACTACTGCTCTACCTGACTGTTGTCTAGAATGAAGTGACCACTGTTTAATTTTATGACAAAGATCTTCATTGTTATACTACGTATGCTGCATTATTTTTCAGTGTTGTACCTATTTAAACGCCTGTTATTGTGGATAGCAATCAATTTTTAAAGAAGTTTTTTTGGTCTTTTTGTTCTTTTTTATAAACATTGAATGCAATAATGTCTTCCTAAATATATTGCAGTGATAGTTATACTGACAGGGTTGTACCACTACACATGCTAAGCTACTCTAGAGTAGTAATCTTTTTTCATATTGAGATATTGAGTCAATTTCAGTCCAACTCTGATGGTAATTGTATGTTCCTTTCAATTTAAAACAGGAAATGCACATCAGAAACATCCCACCTTACCTTATTTTGAAATTTTGTCGCCTCATAATAAAGAAAAAACTTTATTACAATTTCCATATGACTTTTGGAAAACAAAACATTACTTATGAGAAAGATCCCTTTCTATAACAATATTTGAAATGTAAATTGTCTCTCTATTATAGTACCTTCTTCCTATCTCACTTTATTAGTATAGAGAATAAGTGAGACAACACAACTCTCAGAACTCTGTACACACTGAAAGAATTAGGTCGTGATTTGTTCACGCTGTGATTTGTTCATACAGTAACACAGGCTTAGTCACTGTAATGAATCATCGCCTGATTTGTATACTAGGCAGGTGGATCTCCCCATAGTGGCAGAATTCTGTGTATCTGGAAGGTTTGCTTGGTGAATCTTCTCCAGCTTACTTTAGCTTGAAATAACAGATGCTGTTGTGTGAATCATCAAACGCAATAGTTCAGCATCCAACCGGCTCACCCTGAGTTTAAAATGAGAAAGAAACGAATCGGGTAATCCAACTGATTTGAATAATTTTTTTCAATGCAATTCATGAATGACACAACATTAAAGCCTTAGTAATATAAAAAAAAATTACTTTGATAGTTCTGCTCACAGCTGAACTCACAATAAAATGTATTTAATGCTACAATAATAAAAAAATCCTTCAAAATAGCATGCTTTTTCCAATAACAACTCAGTTAGGTACTTTTTGGGGGGAGGCAACTTTTAACATGAACTGGTTACATTATAATTCCCAACACTATTCGTTTCAGAGGAGATATCAATCCCAAACAACAATCAAAACCAGAATAAATGAAAATTCACCACAAAGCATGCCAGAGCTAGCCATTTTGTGAACATGTACCAACACAAGTCATGAAAAAAGCAAAAAAACAAAACAAAAACATGTAGACCATTGTTCATGGGAAGAAAATGGAAGTCAGAAGAGACAAAATAAAAAAAAAAAAAAAAGAATAATTCATACCCTGCCATTAACTATACAGGTTAAATATAGGGGTCAAAATGTACAGGCATATATCCTAATAGTACCCTTATAGTACCATAAAGACACTTTTGTAAGCCCTAGTGCTCTTGGGTGTTCTGCTCATAAGGGTGAAGTAAAGGGTATAGATATAGCTGCTTAGTTTGCTTTTGCCTCGGGCTGGCTCCGGTAATATGTTGTAAAAAAAAATAATAATAATAAAAATACTGAGCTAGACATATTACTTAATATAGCAAAACCAAATTATTCTATTTCTTTGTGCAGCTAAAATTGTTTTAGTAGTAGTAATGTCTCTTTTATTTTATGGAAAATAAACATAAATTAAAACCATGGCTACCGTTAATACAGGTTGATTTGCCTTTGTGATAAACAGCATGTTTTGTCTCCTTTTTACATAGACCCGTATGTAAAGGAAAAAACTACAGGTTGTAATGTTACAACTGTTTGCATGCTTCCTATCTCCCTTTGTTTAATGTAGGCTCTCATTACCACGTGGTGGTAACAGATTGTTTGAACTGGAGAGAAAAGCCATTCGAAGCTAATTAAGCAGCCATTCCAGGCTCTATTCACAGGCAGAGGACCGGGGAGCACAGGCATTTGTCAGCGCTTGACCCCGCGTGGTATTGATTGACAACCCCGCGCCGAGAATGACAGGCTCAGCGCGGGCGGACCAATGGGAAGCCGCGGAGTAAGTGCACCGCGCGGCTATTGGTCGAGAGGCCTTAAAGTCGCAGAGGAGGTCCCCACGTGGGGCTGGAGCTGAACCTTCAAAACAAGGCAGTGCTCAGACATGGCTGATGTTCATATCACACAAAGGCAATCATCTCCTCTCCTCTCTCCCCTCCCGCTGTGTAGCTATCGCCCAAATGCTGATAGGTAGGGGCGCGGACGTGTTGTGCAACAATCACGAGTCGCTTAAAGAAGAAATTTATGGCTTTAGTTTGGCCAACGTCGACGATCGATTGGTCATTATCGCGCCCTTCATGGTGCATGTGCATTAAGGGCGGATTAAACTCGAATTTCTTGAGGGGGATTCACTCCAGATATTTCACAGTCCCAACACTACGAGTTTTATAGCTGTTTTCCTTGTATGGAGGGTATAAATTGCAAAATGCTTGCAGGAAAACACATCACCTTACCGCCCTTCCCCCTCAACCCCCCTCCCCCCAAAAATAAATAAATAAATAAAATAATTTCAACGGCAAAAAAAAAAAAAAAAAAACTCCATAATGAAGCGCGTTGTGCTGTTTATGCTGCCGCTGTCAAATGTGGAGATGATCGTCGGCACATCAATACGTGCTGCTGTTGTCGTATCCACGGTGGGATGGGGGCGGCTCATGCATTGTGGATCCGCGGGATGATGTCATGTATCGCTGCACCCCACGTGGGGCCCGGCGCTCTCCGATAGGCAGATGTGGCCATATTCCTTCCGAGTAATGCGATTGGACAGATAGACGCTTCCACGGCAGTTCAGCCCTGCTGCCTGTGTGTGGCAACCGGGGGTAAGCTGGACGACTGGGGGGGAAATGCGAGATTGTGGAGAGTACCGTGTTACGCTTTTAAAGAACCTCTTCGACTCGTAGGAGAGATTTTTGGAAGCTTATATGTATATATGTTTTTTGTCGTTTTTGAGGGGATTAACCAGCCGCGTAAGGAGCGCATTCCTCGGAGCTTCAACGACGACGACTAAAGTAGTTTAATCGAGCCCGACCGAGCGATTTTTTTTCCTCCTAACTGCTCCCTGCAGTCTAGTCCAGCCTGACTGGGTGCGTTCTGGAGAGAGTGGAGGATGCTTCTCCAGATCTGGATCCACATTACAAGGAATTAAACGCCTAAATTATAGCCTTCTGTATTTTTTTTCTTCTTTTTGGGGAAACAAAGGTCGGACCGAAGAATAGGACGCACATTCGGGTATGTATTTCTCCCAGCTTTTGATTTCTCTTTCATTTATTTCATGCTTATTTTTTCTGGGCGTGCGCTCCGCAGCGCGCCTCTGCGCGGAGTCAAAGTGGTTGGAAAAGCCAGCTGCCGGGCCGTCGGTGGTGTCCTGTAAGTGCGGGCTTTCTGCTTATTTGAGGAAAAATCAATACAAAGACAAATCGGTCCGAGCGTTTTATATTCGCTTCTTGGCTGCATGTCTTTATACACCTGTAAATGTTTAAAAATCGTTGCTCACAAACCGAATAAGGTCATCAAGAAGACAGAGGGGCACGGATTGTGTTGTTGTTGTGCTTTTTTTGTTGTTTTTATTTAGGGGATTGTTTAGATTTGCATCAAATTGCTTATTCTACATATATAGGTTAATTTGCTTCTTTTCCCACCTCGAATACAGGATTTTCACGACCTCCCCTCACCCCCTCTATCCCACCCCTGTCTGCTGAGACTGACATCTGTGAGCAAATTTCCAGCCTTTTGCTAAAAGGACCTGCACACTGGAGACATAAACAAAGGACACATTTAAAGATGTATCCACAGGGCCGACATCCGGTAAGATGGGATTCTTCTATGTACTTTAAGCATCTAAAACATTTGTGTAAGAAAGGAAGAAATATCCTGCTGCAAAGCCCCCTTATTCCACCATTCATGCAGGTCATGCCATGCTTTGGAATAAGAGTAGCCTATGAAGATGTTTTGCATATTTGCATGATGTTACTGGTATGACTCGTGCAAAATGTGAAGACAGGTGGTGGTTTAAATTCCTGTCTGAGAGAATTGAGATTCAGTGTGAAAGCCTACTCATGTGATGTTATTAACAGCTGGAGGTGTGAAGTATGGACTCGCCTCTGCTTTTTGGGAAAATGCCTTACTGCAGAGATGTTCATATCTTTGAAAGGGTGAATTTCAACTCTGAGTCGGATTGCTGAGATTTTTCTTTTCTTCTGTTTGCAGGCTCCACATCAGCCCGGCCAGCCCGGCTTCAAATTTACCGTTGCCGAGTCTTGTGACAGAATTAAAGATGAGTTTCAGTTCCTCCAAGCCCAGTATCACAGGTAATGATTATCACAGAAATGACAAGGATGTCAGTTTGCTTTATTGGTCTGTGGAGTTTTAGAGTAATAAATGGGTTGAAATGAAAGATGGACTTTTTCCTCCCCCTCCTCTGAGCAGGTAGATATGCATGAATGAGTGCTGAAGAGGTTGAAATTGACACCTTGTCTTCTGTTTTCAGTCTGAAGGTGGAGTATGACAAACTGGCCAATGAGAAAACAGAGATGCAGCGCCACTATGTCATGGTAAGCTTGCGTTACAATGGGGAGCAATTATGGTACCAAATTGCAAGGCTTGTTGAAGATCTGGTCAGGGTGGAGCGACACGGGCTATTGTGATCACCTGCATGTGGTGGTTAAGGCGGCATTGGTGTCAGGTACAGGCCTGTGAAAGCCCTCAGGGTGGTGGTGGTGGAGAGGAGGTGTGGTATAGAGCAGCCAGTTGTTACAGAAGAGCTCTTCCTGACGGGCAGTGGGCTTCATTATAGCCCGCCCCTCCGATCTCCAAGGGGTTGACTGCAGCTTTGCCCTCTGTGTGTGCTGATCTGATTATTCTCCTTGGAGACACCATGCTCAGACATATGCAGGGCCATAAATTAGGTGCGAGCTGCTGGCGCAGACCACAGTAAACAAGATGGAGGCTGTGGAACAGGCTTGCGGTGTATCTTTGCAGTACCGTTCTTTATAATCTTTAATTATTAGCTTTTATTTAAGCAGCCCTTAAGAAAAACATAGGTGTGCCGCTGACGCAAGAAATGAGCCCAGACATGACGCAATGAGCAGGTTTTCCTGTGGATGTGTACTCGCTTGTCTCGAGTAAACACACACAGTGGGAGAGATTTACACAAATATATTTTGTCCTGAATTAAAGAACCCCTTTTTGGTTTTTTTTTTTTGTTTGTTTTTGTTTTTTTCGGGTGAAAACAACATGTCAGCCTGACAACCATGAGGTTAGGTAAACATGTTGGGAAGTATTCCACAGCCAGCGATGGGTGTCAGGTTACGCTACGGCTGTAGGGCTCTGATCTCAGACAGAATGGCTCTCTTGTTTGAGAGTAATTTTCGAAGAAGCTAATGGACTGAATAATGCATTGGCCTCATCAAATAGACGCTGACTGGAAAGCCATTTCTGCCCCGGTTGCCAATTCTGGACTCGACGGATTACATTTCATCCAGACAGACAGACAGACTGACCGGGCTGGAAATATCAAGAGTGTTGAGCAATCACGTTACGCTAAGTAAGCAGACATCGTGGAGATCTGAGGGCTTAAGATAGTGATCAATACATCTAACCCTTTCCTTCTTGTGCCTTCACTACAAACAGCAGGGGGTGGGCGGGGAATCAATTCATTGACTGCTGCAGAGCTCCTTAAAGAAGTTCTTTTCTAGTCTGATCTTAGTTCATCACCTTTCAGGGTATTTTTATCCTACTGTTCAAAAGCATGTGATAATGTGATTAGTGTAGGGATCCATCGCATTGATTGTTGTGCACAGTGTATTTGTTTTGTTCAATCATGAAATTATCTCAGATTTTGTGTAATTTGAACCCTTTTTGTTGTATTTTTCAGTATTACGAGATGTCTTATGGGTTGAATATAGAGATGCACAAACAGGTATGTACCACCTCCCTATAACCTTTAAATAACAAACTCTGATCAAATATTTCTGGCCAATATCCAATCTCCTGTACTCCACAAAGGCTTAGGCCAATTTTAGAACTATGATATCAAGGCAGCGTTGATGTAAAAAAACAAACTCTAGCCTTTTTCTGCAAGATACAATAATTATAGATGCATGTGCATCATCATTTAGTGTATATGAGAGAGATTTTGCTATACAACAATGGTGAAATTTACATGATTTATTAGCATTTAGCCTGATTAGTTTGGCTAGTGTGTGTACCTAGAGCAGTAGCTCACTAATTTTTCAACTTCAAAAGAACAATGTGAGACCTGTAACACAGCCTAACTGGTTTGTAAATTAATCTTGAGTTTAATAACAGAACAAACAACATCATTCAATGACTGTATCTTTCTTATCTATTTACATGTAATCTGCTGTTGATTTAAATGCTCTTTCGCCACTTTGTTTTATTATTTAGCCTGATATCTGCAGCTTGCTTTCTTAAAAGCCTCACATGTTGATTTATAAAACTAAGTTATGTCCTAAACTCAGTCTTGAGAGCCCTTGCTTTAAAAATTTTATTATTTACCTGCTGATATTCCCAAATCTTTCTATTTTCCCCTTCTTTTCCAAGTCTGACACATAGCTGGTCACTATAGTTCACCAAAATGAAAACTATTCAATTCTACTGAAGCAATTGATTTCTCTGTGCATTGTATGTATTTGTATTTTTTATTTTATTTTTTATCAGGGCTGCTTGATGCATTAAAAACCTTGGTCACTGTGTAAATCTAACATTAGTGCATAGGCTTATGTGCTGAATGAATGAAAGCATGTGCCACCATTTATACAATCAGTCTCGGCCATTTTATTGGAAATTTACCAGTCGTGTCATGTAATCCGAGTCAGCTTTTTGATAAGATTAAAGGTAGACTTTGACAAGACGTGATGATTACAAAGACAGAAGTGCTGAGCAGTAATTACAAGAGCGGAGCAAAAGTCATTTAGCCATTTATTGCGCCCTTATCTTTATCCAAGGATCCTATCTGATGTTGACTCACAGATCAATCACAATAAGGTCTGAAGTAATATAAAGATTGAATGAATAGGTAATCCTCAGATTCCACTACATGCAGCATTTAAACCATTAAGTTGGTCTCTTCCAGTTGGTTAATAACAGCGTTGGCTGCCCAGCGGATTGGCGTGGTGGGATGATCCATCAGTGTCTGGGGTTGTTTGTCGCATTGCTACATGTCTGTCAGGCCTCAAGCCCCTTTGATAGCTTTTGTCAGGCACTTATCACCAACTGGAGGGGAGATGGAGGGGGGAGTTCTGGAAAGGAGCAGGAGAATAGAGCTGGGAGGGGAGGAGCAGGAGCCTAGCTTTGTGTAAACAGGTTAATCGACTGATCCATTTTAGTGTCTGACTTTTATCAGGAACCTCAACAGAGCTGATGGAAGCGCTTGAATAATTCATCAGCGGGGCCCCTAACCTTCTGAACCGCATGTTGGTGAGCAAACAGTGCGAGGCCTTGTCCTTGCAGCTTCCTTAGCCTTACACACCCAGGCATGGGGGAAGAAGGAGGCGAATATCAGCAGTGGGTAACAGACAGGGGTTGGGATAGAGTTATTGGATGCACGCCGGCATATTATTTCCATTCTAGGAGATTTATTCCATTGTATGGAAGCTCATTCTTCTTACTATGCCTTTTTCATTACTGCGCAGGGACATATTTCAGGTTTTAGAAATGGCACAATGACACAGCTTAGATGGACTGATGTGGCGGTTATCTGATCCCTCTCTGTCAGCTGCAGCAGTAAGTCGATGCAAATGGGCTAATTTCTGCTGCATGACATCAACCCCATAATTGCCGTCATATGGTGCTTGTTTCCTGGAGCTGCATGGGGGAGTATGGGGCTCAAACCTTTGCTTCAGTTGGATTAGGCTTTTACCTGTAGCTGTAACACAGACTCATGCCTCATTGTGTTTGCTTAAAAGGCCACATATCTTCTGGCACCAATAGGAAAGGAAGCGGGGCCCGCCAACATTCTGTCTGTGTTGTTCATAGAAAATTGAAAAGCGGTTTGAGGAACTGTGCCTTTTGAAAGAAATCAGTACTTCAACATCTCAAGTCTGTCACAAAGGACTGAACGTTGGTGTAATATTCTACAGGTGCAAGTTTTCAGCTGTCAGGTTCACTCATATAAATGGAAAGTTCTCATTTAGCATTTGCACCAAATGACAAACGTACTTTTCTACTACAACTTTTAACATAAAGCTGATTATTGAAATGATTGAAAACGGATTTTATCTTTTCCTAGAATTTGATGTTTTAGACTAGTCAGTCAGCTTTATAACTGTTATTTTTGTACCTTTAAACTATTGTCATTGGATGATTTTTTTACACTTGAACCAATGACTTTTTACACAAATGTGGGAAGGAGGCTGTGTGCCACAAATTGCCTTCTCTGTCAGGAAAAAAAAATTACAGGAAAAGGAACATGTAAAGCATTTCTTTACAGACTGACCAAAAAAGTATGGCTGTTAGATCAGTGTGGAAAATGTCTGGATCAACGTCTCACACCATATCCAAGGTAAAAGGGATGAGGATAGTTGGACACTTTAGAGCTGTATTTGGAATTCAGCCTCTTTCCCTCAATCAGTCTAAATACTTTGGGTCCCTTTTGGCAAGAAATTGCATCTTAGTCCCCTGGAATTATTTTTATTATTCCATGCTATATTCTTGTTTTTGTTTTGTTTGCATAGCCTTGTTTATACCTCATGGTCACACTGAGTGGAAAAGACATTCTTAAAGCAACAATGTTTAACTTTAACCACTAGGGGTGCTAAACCTGTACCTTCAATGTTTACCATCTAAACTGACAACACACTGTTGTAAAAATGATTGGTGTCTCTCCCATGTTTTGCAATCTGATAACAGACAGTTTAGAAGAGCAGATTAAGCAGCCATGGAGTTACTTGTGAGACGAGGCCAAATTTACCCCTCCAGATTAAATCCCAGATGTCTCATCGGGTCATCGTCAGATCTGTTTGTTGTCTAACAACAACTTTTAGTTTAGTTCGCTTTCGGGTTTAAGGGAGGCTAAGATGCTGTAAAGCAGCAGTATGGGTCACATGACTCATTAAATGACAAACGCACTAAAGTTGCATATGTCAGTTTTTGAGAATAGCTGCCCGCAGTCAGCATTGACATGTGCCAAGTACAATGTATTGATCCTGAAAATTTACGTTATCAAAACAAAAAAAAAAAAACATAAATTATGATTCTATAAAGTGTTTCAATCAGGAAGCTCATTGGTGGCGCACTGCCTCCAACCTTTGTAACTGATCATGAGCTTCTTTCTTTATAACTGTCAATAATGAGGCTGCATTTGCATAAACAACCAGAAGAGTTTTTGAGACCAGATGGTTTATAATTCTGCTTTTCCGCTATTCTCTCTGAGACTAGCCGTTAGCTTACTCACCTGTTTCACTGATTAAGTTGAAAAATACTCGATCATCTTATTTTCCAGCTGAAATTAGGGGCAAAACACTTATCTCAAGAAATGTCACCTTAATTTTAGATCAGTTTTTGCTGTAACCGGAATGCATGTACTGCTGGTGACATGTTATTTGCTAATAAGCTTTTCCGACCTTACTGCACACTCTGATAAAATGAATCAAACAAGTGCATCAATCTATATTATCTATGTCTGATATTAATATGTACAGGTTATTTTGCATTTTACTTGGATGAATATGTAACAGTACTAATAAATGTTTTGAGCTATGCTTTGCATCTCAGTTAGGTGGAAAACTCATCAATCAGATTAGAAGAGCTGACCTTACTAGTCCTAGTTTTTCCTTAATAGAAAAGTCAGGCCCTTAGGCCATGCTGCTGGATAATCCAAATGACTGACCCTCTAAATATGACCAGTCAAGCAGTGTTTTTAGATGAATCACCTGCTTCTCCTTTAAATGCAAAACCCATCAGGGTTTTTAGCTCTATTTTCCCACTGCTGATAACAACAGGCGAATACCTCTCTGCACACAATTGACACGGCAGGCTGAGAGTGCTCTTAAAGTGGTGCTACACAGGTCCGAGTACCTGTAATTGTGTAGCAGCCGTGCAAAGCTGGCCTCTCAAGGGCCAAGCTGTCATCTACTTAAAGTGACAACAGCCCCCTTTTTATCTGCCAGCAGACCAGGAAAAAGAAAAGCAGCAGCAGTCCCTTCAGCGCTGCACTGTTTCTCTTTGACAGCGGTGGGGAGCTGAGCTGATGCTTCTGCCATGTATTTGCATGTTGTGTTGTGGGAGCGCAGAGGCTGGCAGTTGTTTAGGGCACAGCGGATCGGCCACCTCCTGACCTCGCTCAGCCAGCTGTCACCATGATACTAAGCTACAGAGGAATGGGCCCCGAGTGCTCCAGGACTTTTTACAAATCCCGTCAAATGTTCGAGCGCTATTTACAAGGCTTATCTCTGCAAACATGGATTACACAGCCCCGGTAGCTTTTCAGCCATTTCTAATGGCCTCCATCGACTCTTTCTAGAACTCTTACAAAAGTGCATAGATAAAACGGCCATAAAATCTTTATCTTATAAGACCACAGCTAATTCCTCTTCTTGTCTAAAGGCAATGGACAAGTTATAGGATGAATTGTCTTTTGGTTCAAAATACTTTCTGCTGTACAAGTAGATCTAGAAATAAATATCTCTGCTGTTTAATTCCTTTTGTTATGATTGTAGCTGATGAAAATCCCCAGATAGTGTAAGACCAATAGGCGGAGGGTTTTTAATACATTAATGTTATCTAATGGCCTGCACAATCATAGGACAGACTGCTGACTTTACAAGTAGTCATCAGATAGTTTATGATATCCACTTCAAGGACAATAAGCCACAAAAGAGGTAATTGCAAAAGAACAGTGTTGAAGAAAAGTAATGGAAAGTTAAGTGGAAGGAAAAATTCTAAAGTTTTCTTTCTGTTTTTTAAATGTGGTTCACCACTTAAAAAATTTAAGTGGCTCTAATTGATGGAGTTCCACGCCTGTTGTATGCAGTTATTATAAATTGCTTCTACTGTCAGGCGTCATTTTGTTTTATCTGACATTAGATTGTTTTCTTGACCACTGGCTTGCCTCGCTTTAATAGCTGTCCATGTTGCAACTAGGGTCAGCAGATCCTCTCCCGTCACTCACTGCTTTCCCATCCCACACTGGCTTTGCCCTGGGGTAATATGTCAGGCTGCCAAACACTGCCTGGCATTTCTGCCATGTGTAATAAATAAGCCGGCGGTCTGCAGACTAACTTGCATCTGCTGCTGCTGCTGCTCCAAATGAGAAATCAGAGAAAATCTCTGTGATGTGTTTGTGTTCTGCAGCGGCCCTGGGTTGAACTGCGGCTCATAAATTCCAAAGATGATGTAGCTTCAGCCCAGTTATTCTGTGCTCCCAGTGCAGAGCTCAGACCTGAATGTCTCATCTCCCAAGCCTAGAAGGAGAGAGAGACAGAGAGGGGGGGAGTGAGTGTGAAGGGAAGAGCAAGCTGGGTGCTGTTTTTACAGGAGAGTGGGGGTGGATCATACTCCCCTCTCCTACTGCTCTTTTTATCCACCATTCATTTGGTCCGTTCATGTGATCGACAGGCTGAAAATTCAATTTAATGACCTGCCTCCAAGCACGTAATATGATTTTAAGGCCTGTTACGGTCAAGCGGAGGTGCCATTTGCATAATGATCCCCAGCCAGATAGGGCTGTAGCTGTTGCCATGGCAGTTGGTCGACAAGCAAAAGAATGGAGGCAGGGTTCCATGGATAGATGGGAGGGGAGGAGGGGTGCGGGATGGGGAGGGGGTGGGGTTGGAGGGGTAGGTTGATGGCTTGGAGAAATCGCTCCAGCTTGATTCTTAGAAAGGCCCAGTTTTAGTGAGCCTCTCCTGGCACAGACTGCTTTAATTCTTATCGATCACAGATTGGAGGACAGTAACCCACAAGTTGTTATGGTTTGTTATCATAGTGCGCTCTGATTCATAATGTCGATCTTCCACACTGTCACATGTAAGTAAACAGTGCAGGTTGAAGGCCTCGGCTTCATAAAAGGGGTGTGGTTGTGTGGTTTAACTGAGGTTAAGTGCAGGACAGTGCAGTTTGGGTGGGAGAAAAAAAAAAGAGGGAGGGCTGCGCGGGAGAAGATTCTCTCGACGCAAACGCACTCCGCCTGCTCATATCCGTTTAACGTGGAGTGCACTCTCAGCACAGCTGTGCTCCATCCCCCTGGGCTCTCCTAATGTTTTAAATATTTCAAATGTCAATATCATGCTGTTTAGAGGATGTTGAGTCAAGCAGTTCTGATTGCCGGAGTAATTGGCTTAATCGGTGTAAACATTAAAGGAGGGGTTATGTGCAGTCACTGCGTTCTTCATACACCTCCAACTTATTTATTTTTTCCTTTTTGTTTTCCCTCTGTTTTTTTTCCAGACGGAGATTGCCAAACGACTGAATGCAATTCTAGCTCAAATTATGCCTTTCCTGTCACAAGAGGTAGGTTTTGAATGCAGCCCTCAAACGGCGTCACTGCTTATTTAAAAACAAAGTGGCTTATTGTTGCTGTGTTGCAGAGAGACATTTTCTAAGTAGTTTTTCAGTAATCGTGCTGCTTTTTTGACGTTCACATTTGTTCTAAGCCTGCTTTATTGTTGTGCTGTGAAAATGCAACTACATTTGGATGCCTTAATAATTATATGTCCATGTTTCTGTTCAGCACCAACAACAGGTTGCTCAGGCAGTGGAGAGGGCTAAGCAGGTGACTATGACCGAGCTGAATGCCATCATCGGGGTACGTGGACTTCCCAATCTGCCTCTCACCGTGTGTATACTCCCTTTTTTTTCCTTTATTTTAACTTGGGTATGGGCAAACATTCAATGCATCTGAAAGTAATAATTGCACCATGTTGTATAAAACTTTGTGTTTAATTGAAATTTTATGTGACAGACCAGCACAAAGTAGTGCAAAATTCAAAATTAAAGGGAGAAGTTAAGGAGGGAGGCGTCTGAATTTATATTCGTCCCTTTCTATTTAGATTCTTCTTAACCCTTTAAAGCCTGATCCAAGAATAAAACAAAACAGAAAATAAATTTTTTTTGGTTTGAAGTCCTTATTTGGCCTTTTAACAAAATATGTAAAGAGAAAAAAAAAATACATTTTTGATATTAATAATTTATTACCATGCGGTAAGTCAAGATAATTTTTTGTGTAGTCTTTTGCCCTCTGTTATCAGGTATATCTGATTGTGTACAATAGGATTTTTTATGCAAAGTTTTTACCATTAGATTATGCAAAAGGTGTCAGACGCCAAACATTTCAGAAACCGTATGTATCAAATATGTTACATTTGGCATTATAGGGTTAATAGTTGCTTATTAAGAAATGCCAACGACATGGCACTTTTTTTTAACAAACAAGATATAACCATCCACAGAAACTTTTATTCTGGGTACAGGGAGCATTAATTAGAGAAGCTATGTGAATCTTGGGTACAAAAATCTATTGATGGGACAGCTATTATTCACTTTATGAATTTGGCTTTAATAGAATAGAGGCAAAATGAAGAATGGAGGATGGATGGGGGAAAGCATTAAAAAATCCTGCTTGCAGACTGGCACATGTCATTGCTGCTATAGGAAGCTAAAGATGAAACCATGAAAGGTTTAGATCAAAGCATAGTCCTGTGTTAAACTGACCCAGCCAAATTCCAGACCATAAAATTCAAAAGCTGTGGTTGGACTTACAAATGGATATTTACATATGTCTTTTTTCCCATCCAGTTGAGTTGATATTAAGCTTATTTCGCAAATTGCAAAATATCAATTAGAGAAAAGTCATATGGCTGTAATTGCTACAAATTATCTGTTATTCTTTTTCATGTCAAAATGCTGAAAACTAATATCTTACTCTAATTTCCTTTACCTCACAATAATGTATTGCTTTGCGTTGGTCTGTTATATAAAATCCCAATAAAACTGATTTGACATTAATTATTAAACCAAAGTGGTAAATCCTGTTTTTGGGAAATTCTGGTCAACAATGAATAATGACAAAATAATATGACTGATATGTTCTATATATTTAGCATTATCCTTTTGAAATGGTCTGTTTCTGCTCTTTTGGTATCGGCAGCATTGTTTCCTGCCTTGTTGTCCGTTTACAAATGTGAGCCTGAGAGCTCTCTAGACGCCCTCCGCAGCCCGCATAGCTTTAATTGGCTAAGGTTTTAACGAGGAGCCTCATCCCTCACTGTTGACCTGGATAGCTGTGGGAGTTAAAAGGGCTGAGGCTGAACAGAACAGCCTCCCTGAGATGGCACAGAAAGCAGCCATCAGCCATCCCCACTGCTCGGCGTTTTGCAGAGCTCATCACGGTGCAGTTAATGTTTGGTGTTCATCACTGCTTCCAGGCACCATCTGCTTCTCATTGATCAGCTATATCCCTCCTGTCCTGCTCACACAGAGGCAACTGGTTTTGCTAGAGAAACACAGCCTGGGATTTCTGTGATCTTTTTTGAATCTTCTGCATGCAAGTCAATGGATGCTGACCTGATGCAAATATTGAAATTCAATGATTTCCCTCCTTGTGATGTTTTTGTTTTATTGCCTTCTTGAAATGGGGAATTTCTAAAGGTGATGTAGAGCCACTTTTATTTTCATATGTTTGGACTGACGTAGATGCTTTTTTACGCTGCAAACAGCACTTGTGATAACATTAGTAATATTTGATAAGTTATCTAATATGTTTTCACCTTTGAAACATAATACCGTAATACTTTGCTGATTTGAATTTGGAGCTTGGGTGATTTAATTTATTTTTTCTTCTGTGATCTATAGTTCACAGTTGACTTCTTAAAAAATAGACTAAATAAATGATGTAATGCGGCTTTAGAGCAGAGTTCTGTGTGGCATCAGGGCTGTCAAAAATGATGAGGCCTCAGCCCAAAACTTCCAGCATTGGCTAATGTCAGGGGACGTGGTGATGTGTGTGATTAAGAACACCTTTCCATGTGTTATTTATTAAGGAGAAGCTCTGTAGGCATGCCAAAATCCTCATGTATATTGTAAAGCAAGGTGGGGGTGAAAGAGCACAGCAGACAGACAGGCGGTGTACAGGAACCAGCTACATGTCTTATTGATGGAGCTGCTGGCCATTAATAGAATGCAACTAGGACAGCTGCTTGAGGTAAAGCCGACTGCTAGAGAATCCAGTTTGGTTCAAACATAAAAGCCTCAGATATGCCAACCTGGGTTGTGTCAGACCTTTATGAGCATATATTCTCTGTCCATTATAGGCAGTATTTCTGTATGGGTGAGTGTCTGAAGCAGTTGTAGCTTTGACCAACTCTGTCCTCCTTTTCAGCAGCAGCAAGCTGCCTACCCTTCTCTTATGGTCAGTGGCGTATACATGTTTGTGTCATTCACATTTCTTTGACTGGATTTGGTTTTTGTGGCTTGAAGACCTTGTGTGTGTTGCATGGCACGGCTTGTCTCCAGCTAATGTGCATTTTTAATTGGACATAGGGTATTTAAAAAAATCTCACCCATGATAACCATGCCGTAGCATCACAACAAATAACTCAAATATATATTAAAATACTGGTGAAAAGTGCAGCAGTGATTTTGTCCAACCCAAATTGCTCCAACTCTTCTTTTAGCCATCTAGCTTCAATCCTGATGTGCAGATCCAATAGGCATGCCACTAGATATAAAATAGCCTACATTGCAGCCTTTGCAATTGCAAATCGGCACTACAGGGCTCGATGTTAACCATTGCCCGATCGCCCGGGGCAAGTAGTTTTTATTGTCGGGAGAGTACAAATTTTATTGCATTTGCCCGCCGGGCAAGTGCAATGATCGCAAATAAAATTATTTACCATTCAAAACTACTTTAAAATCACCGACATTTGCTGAAACCGACCCACAAGTGTTGTCTGCGCCATTTTTGTTGCTTTGTACACATTCTCGCGTGATTTGAAAAAGCCGCGTGATTTTCCGCTAGATGGCGTGATTCAGCTCCTGGGGAGAGTATTCTGCAGAGCTGCAGCTGGATGATGAATTTAATCTATACTATAATACACTTTAGATTAAAAATGATCAGTCAGGGATTAGGATAATAATAATAATAATTTTATGAGCACAGTGTAAATATTTCTATCATATGGCAGTCTTCTGTACAGTGATGCAAGTTTTTAACCTGTCAAGTTTTTATTTTTATTTTTAACATTACAATTTATATTTTTCCAAGCACACAACAGTTTAAAGCAAAGTTTAGTTTGAAAAGAATGTGCAGGAAGGATTGAAAAGCATGTTAACACGGTAATGTAGGCTTGAGTTCATTATCTGACGCATGCATAGGAACCTGTAAACTTAAAAAAATACTAAATTACAAAAAACATTTACAAAAAACAAACATGTTTCATTGATATATATACAAAAAGGAATATTAGGAACTATATTTATCAAACATTATACTGGGCAAGTAAAAATTGTTTCTGGGCAAATGAAATGGGAAAGTCACTTGCCCAAACGGCAAGTAAAAATCCTTAACGTCAACCCCTGCACTAATATTTGATATTTTTGTCTGTTTTCAATTTTAATGTAAATGTGTAAAAAATAATAATATTTAACAGAACAAAATTCATGATTATTTTTGCTGTAACTATAATAATACAACATAATTATTATAGTTACAGTAAATATAGCATTCGTTTATTTAAGGTTATGCATGAAGCTAGGAAAACGTATACTGACTCACTTGTTGTAATATTGGAGTTTATTTCAAAGAATACTATTTGCAATATTGTTCTTTATAGATTAAAAAGTGAGACGATGTTAGCAGAATAATTTACTTAAAAACGTTCATCCGGATAACAGGCTTTATTTTTAACGGAGTAATCCTAACAGGATGGGGGGGTTCTATTGTGTCAACCTAGGATAAAAAATATTTTCAGCCCGGTTTGTCTTAGTTGTATGCAAGTGGGAAATGTTGCTGTATTCTTTCAGCTTGCTAGGTGAGCATGCAACATTCTATTACTGATGAGTTTATAAAAAAAAACTGCTGCAGTTTTGCTAGCATAACTCTTTAAAAAAAAACTTCAACTGCTTTTAATGCGGTTACCCTGTTAGCTATAGAGTCTACTCTCAGATGGGCTTTATTTCCTACAGTGACACTCAGTGTGGAGGTTAAATAAGGGGCATGGTGTATAAGTTTTTATCCTGCGTTATTAAATTAGAAGATACAGGCCAGACTTCTTCCTTTATTTATTATTGTCTTCATTTATAGGCCTTTAATGAGGGCTCTTGCTGATCAGCCATGCTTATTACCCATCAGTGCCTCATTAAACACAATGAGCAAGGATGTCTTCCCCCCTGCCAATGAACTGGCTCCTTAATTTCCCTCATGGACACAACATTAGAAGTCTCCCTCCATCTCTCCTTCTCTCTCTTTTTCTTTTTTCTTGTTCTAGTTTTCTGTTTTCAAGCGTAGCTCATATCACTCTTAGAAAAAAGGAATAATATTTTAGAACCATTTACACCTTTGGGTTCCTGCCACCCTGTGAAACGAAGCCAATGTCGAGTTAAACCATCTTCCTCTACTCTGTGGTAATTACTAACTTCCTGATATTCCTAAAGTGGCCGTTAAAGGCCGCTGATTAAAGTCCGTCTTGTAAAAGAGAAAGATAGCACGCTGTAACAACAGCTGAATTATTTAGTCGGCTTGTAGATGGGTTATAAACTGCTGATGTTTTATTGGTGTCTCGGCTAAGTATTATTTAACCTTGCTTTAAACTGCTTCCTTCCCAGGCTGAGTGCCTTTTAACTCTCTTTCATTTCCCTGTGCCTTTCAAATATTGATGGCGAATATTGGAGGCTCGAGTGAGTGCCAGCAATGGGACCCCTACTCCTGGCTCCTGAAGCTGCCTTCTGTTGGGAAGCGGGGGGGCTTCTGGCATTCAGTTCCCTTGTGTCTAAAAGTTTGGGTGTTCGAATGATTTATGAGCTGTCGATACCAGAGTTTGAATGCAAGAGCAGCAAGCAGACTGTTTTGTGTGTTTTTTTTTTTTAAGATTGTTTCCTTATAAAAGTTTTTAATTATTTTGCCTTGAGGCTAACAGCTTACTGTTCTTTAAAGACGATTGTTAAACTCACTGATGCTACAGGGGTTATGCGATGCTGCAGTATGAAATGGAACAGTTAGAGCATGATTTCTTTCCTTGCTTTCTAACCAAGGCTCATTAAATTTATCTCTGCTGTTTCTCCTTGTTTTACACCGAAGAAACATGGAAAAACAGTAATTCTAAGTTGCTAAACTAACTAGCTTTATATGTGGCTATATCATTTTGGCTTAAAATGGAGCTAGATCTGACAGCAGCTGTTGATTTCTGCTAAAGTCGTGAGCTGAGAGTGGCTACTCCTTCCCTCCAACCCATTTGTTGTTTGTCTGTCTGCATCTATATCGACTTGCAGCAGCAACAGCTCCAGGCGCAGCACCTTTCCCACGCTGCTCACGGGCCTCCAGTTCAGCTGCCGCCCCACCCCTCGGGTCTGCAGCCGCCTGGAATCCCCCCTGTCACCGGCTCTGGATCCGGCCTGCTGGCGCTCGGGGCGCTGGGCAGCCAGGCTCACCTCCCAGTGAAGGATGAGAAGAACCATCACGATCTGGAGCACAGAGGTGTGTTATTGACCTCAGTTATTGTAACAGTTTGTTTATTTATTTAGTACAAATTAGATATGGGTCAGCATAAACTCTCACTGTATAACTGTGGTTGAAGTTTCATGGTATTTTTACAAACATCTATTATTCCCTCTACTTGTAAATAATATGTGCTATTCCCTTTAACATTCAGCTATTGCTGTTTTAAAAAAAAAAAAATCTGCTCATTATTGAGCCAGCTTTCAGAAATCCAGCAGTCTTTCAAATTCAGGATTTGATTCTCTCATTTTGTTAAAAGTTTGGACTATGACAGTCTTTTACATTGTAGCGGATCAAAAAGAGTTTTTTCCCAAGCCAGCTGAGCAGCAGTACACAGCAAAATCATAGTAAGGGGCTGTGCTGTTTTTATCCATGCTTCATTCCACTAGGGGTGTGGGAAATAATCGTTTTGGCAATATATCGTGATATTCGGCTGCCCAATATAATATCGATCTTTCACTTTTTAGTATCGAT